CCGCAAGAGCACACTCCAATTCCTTTGGATCCCTCAAGATCTGTCCAAAGGGTAAAATCTATGTAAAAACTGCTGACAGAGGGCTGCGTATAATTCGACGCCGTCGTGTTAGGGAGCACTGTTGCAGTCTTGACAAAATGCGGTCCCAAGCTCGTCGCACTGCCAGCCTAATCGAGTCGAGTCGAGTCCAGTCGCGCCCTGGTCAGTGAAAATTGTCCCCTCTGAAGGGGAGGGCGGCGAGCTGCTAGCAGACAGGCGGGCCCGCTGCAACCAGTGCAGCAATAATAAATGAAGATATGAATGTTGCCAGTGCTCAGTGCAAGGGTTCAGGAGGGTTCCATTTAACTCCCGAATTCAGTAAGATTTGCTGTTGCTTGCCAATCCTCCCCAAAGACTTCAACGAAACCGTCGCTCCATCTTCTCGCTGGCCGAACGATGCGGTCTCTCGAGCTCTGCATACTTCCAAGGCTCCCCCATAATACTCTACATGATCACGCGTGCACGCCGGTTGATCACACACTACCTGCTGCTTTCCATGTGCGGGCCCTGCAGGGTGCTGCGACCCAACTGCGAATACCAATAGATCCAGAACGATCTTCGATGGTCCGTGCCGTGCGTTGCAGCCAACCTGACAATGATTCCGATTCCTCCTCCGCTGGCTCCTCGTCTGTTCCATCATGCACTGGCGTCCGCCTTCGACCCGAACCAATGACAAGTCTCAACATGTGTCTTTGCGTGTTCAAAAGCCCCCGCTCCATGCTTGTCGTCAGTGTCCAGCACGTTGCGCCATACAGCGCGCACATATTACCACTGAGCCGAACAATCGCAATCTTGAACGGATCGGGTAGTTTACGTTGCTGAGCTCTTTGTTGAACGCGAAACTTTTGTTCATGCACAATGTAACCGAAAATCCAATTCAGCGCCATGTGGATTTGAAAGCATGTGTTCTGCCGATATATTTGGTCGCTTCCTCGCGCTTGAGAATATTGATCGGCATCCCTTTGACGCACATGATGTCGTGTGCTGCCTCCCCTCGTCTTGCCCGCACATGTGTCAACGCCACCGTACTGTCCAGGTGAAGTGAAAGTCCGCATTTGTCGCACGCCACGGCGACGTCTGCCAACATGCGCTTGAGACCTGGTAATGAACGGTTCACCGACAAACGCCGTCGGCAAGTGTAAATTTGTCAGGCGTTCGCCATTCTATTTGAAGCCAAACAACCATTCCAACCACATATTTTTCAGTGACCAGAAATCAAACTCCAAGACGGCATTGAAAAGCACTGGGCTCAGGGGTTCCCTTGTTTGGTTTTTCGTCATATACAGAAGTCGCGTGACGTGTTATCAAGTCTCACCATGCCGGTCTGGGTATATTAAAGTTGCTGCAATCTCTTGACGTATGGGTTGGGAACACCATGCTGTAGTAGAGCGGCCAAGATATGGTCGAGTGAAACGTTATCAAATGCTTTCTTGAAGTCTAACGTGGCGATCCACAAAGGCCTCCCCCACTCACCACATCGCGCATGCCATTGGGTGAAAGCGAGCAAATGGTCCTCAGTGATGTCCGGGTCAATACATTGCGATGCTTCCAATGTCGGTTTCAAACGTCTGTCCCAGCAGGGCTCGCTCGAGACATCCTCGCAAAGTCGGCCCCAAGCGCGCGAGGAGATCAGGCCCCACCGCGCCCCCAGAAACCATTTCCGGGGCGCGCGCCAGGGCGCCCGAGGCGTACCCCAGCAGGGCTCTCGCTCGAGACAGCCTCGCAAGGCGCGCGAGAAGGTCAGGCCCCTCGCCTTCCTGCTCCACGCTCGCCGGATCCTCACCCGCGTGATCCTTGCTCTCCTGACCCTACCCCTCGGGAGCTACGCCCTCATGATCCTCACGCTCATTCTCCTCTCGATCATGCTCCTCTCGCCCAGAAGCGCACGCCCCTTCTTCTAGGTACAGAAACAACCGATCAACCGCTGGGCGGCCGGCTAGTCTATTCTTGGATCCTTCGACGAAGTTTTTGTCTTGTTTTTTTGTTGTCCTCTGGTGACCGCTCGGACGCGCTGCCCTTGCGACCAGTACTTTTTGCAACCAAGTCTAGTGCACCCGCCCAGAACACTTGAGAAGGAAGTTATAGCGAGTATGGATAATCCCGCCTCTGCTGGAGCCATAAAGCAAAGCTTCCATGGGCCAACTTCTGCTTACACCACGAGGAGGAGGAGGAGGAGGAGGAGGAGGAGGAGGAGGAGGAGGAGGCGCCGGCCAAGAAGGGACAAGGGAAGGGAGAGGGGGAGAGGGGGAGCTGGGGGATCGAGGGGAGAAGCATGCAGGAGTGAGGGGCCAGGAGAGGGCGGAGGGCACGGCGGTCCGGAGGCAGCGGAGGTAGATGGAGAAGGCACAGGGAGGGGGCTGCACTCAGCAGCTCCGCCACCGCATGACGTCGCACGCCTCGGGGCCAGCCTGGTCTCGCCGACCGCAGCTGCACGAGCAAGCCTGCCTGGCCCGGGGAGGAGGAGGGGCCGGCACCCCGCTGGTGCCCTCTCCACTGGGGGCTGGGCTGGTCATCAGGGGCAACCGTGAGGAGGGATTGGCATAGGTGGGCATGCACCGCCCCCCAATCTCAAGCGATCGCAAGCGTGGATTCAGGGGGCGTGGAGTAGCGACGGGGCCCGCTTCCATGGGAAACCGAGGATTTCCGCCGCCGAGCGAGGCGGCACCGGCCTCATTTGGGGGAGGGGCTTTCCCCCGATCCATGGATTTGGCGACCGCGCGTCAAATCGATGGATCGCTAACCCATGTTTGCGCGCCCCCGAATCGGGGGCAACAGTGAGGGGGGATGGGCATACAATCAACCCGCATAGTAAGGATGGGCAACCTTCCCACGGGTACCCTTGCATCCTTGCCTCCTCGGTCCATCCTTCGCCGCTCTCGCTGGCCGCGCCCCGCTCGAAAAGCTTTGAGATGGGCGTCCAATGGCTCTTGCGTCCTTATCGCGCATCCTTGCTATACCGGTTGACGACCGTAGGCTGGCACGCAGCGACCCCGGATCGCTCACGGATCGCCGGTAGGGCTCTGACAGCCCCACCCCGCGCAGGGACGGCCGGATCTGCTGTCGGAGACCTGTCGCCGATCTATCTCAGGAGGGGAAGAAGCATACAGACACAATTCATCGTCGACTCCCAGGAAACATGGGGAAATATGGGCAGTGGGGGGGAAGACGAAACTCCACAAAAAATTGCAAAATATGGGGAATCCTATAATTTTTGTGTCTATTTATTTGTGTGTCCCTGGGCTCCTTCACAGGAACGGCCGGATCTGCTATCGGGAACCTGTCGCCGATCTGTCGGCGATGCATCGCCGATTCCAGGTCGATGTTTTTCCCCCTAGGCAAATCCCCCCTATCGTTGCTCCTCGTTTCAGAGCGAAGAGAATCCCGTGGTGTCTGTCCGTGTGCGTTCGAGCCGCCCCCGTCCCAGCCCCGTGTCTTCAATGCAGGCGCATCAACTAAGAAATGGGTCCGCCAGCAGGCGCCCCACGAGCATGTCGTACCCCTTGCTGGCCCCCAGGGACCCGCAGAAGCTCTGGGGCACCCTGGGCCCCAATACTTTTCAAAGCCAGGTGTCTTGTCGTACGTGCCTGCTGCGTGTGTGTTCGAGGGGCAGGGGCTGCGAGTCGACCTGGCAGCGCAGGCCTCGTCCTCCCCTGCGGAGGCGATTGCGACGGAGGGGCGCACGTCGCATGTCAGGCGGGTGCTCGCGCCTCGTACAAACAAGGTAAACAAGGAAACAAGGTACATATCGAATCGGCGTTACTCCAACATTATAATTCTATGTGTGCGTCGCCATCCTGGGGCGACGCGCGTACCGAGAAGTCTTATAGTACATGCGTCGTGGCGGGCGCTTTCTGGCCACACCGCTCGGTAACCGATCTACTACAATATGGATATACTATCTGTTCGGGTCGGACGCGCGCCTCGAAGGAGGACATTTAGTAATATAGTATTAGTAATGTCTCTGTGCGTCCCATCGAAAGTTTCATGAGCGCGTTCATCTTCCAGCGCGCCAGCGCATCGAACGAGCAAGGCGATGCACGTCGGCGCTTGGCGTCCCCGAGGCGCTGGTTCTGCGCACCTCGCCTGGCAGGCAGGGGCGGCGCACCGCACGGATGCCTCCCCGCCCCGTCCGTCTTCGCGGGGCAAACGCAAGGGTGGGAGGAGGAGGAGGAGGAGGAGGAGGAGGAGGAGGAGGAGGAGGAAGGGAGGGGCAGAGGGGGGGGCAGAGGGGGGGGCGTGACACTTGCTGCCTGAGCAGCCGACTTCGGCCTCGCCGCCGTGCCCCCCCCCCTCCATTGGGGGCCGCCCCCGCCGCCGCGGCGAGGCGACGGGGTGCCCCGCAGGGGCCCAGATCTCCGGCGCCGGAATTTCGTGGCTCCGCGGCGTGGACCCCTCGAGGTCCGGACCCCTTCCCCCCCGGAACCGTTCCTGCGTCCCGCGCCGTTGTTGGGCGGTCCCGTGGCCCGGCGGGGGGTCCCTCCGGGCCCGGAGCCGCAAGTGCGGACAAGCCTTCGCGTCCGGACCTGCTGCCCGCGGCGAGGCCACGACATCCGAGGCCTTGTCTGTTTTGTGTGTTCCGTGCGCGGCCCCAGGGACTGCCAGCCCTTTCCGTCGGGCCAGGTAGACTTTCATCCTGGATCCACTTCTGACTGCCACTCGGCCCGAAAAGGGGCCCCAGAGGCCGACATCTTGGGAGAACGGCCAGGCGGAACAAATCCTATCGCCGGAGATTTGGGGAGCAGCGGTTCCGTTGCATCTTCGGGGCACCCTGTCGGTCCCCAGAATTAGCATCTTCTCCTCAGCCCGACGCGGGCTCGGTGCGGACTCGACGTGGAATTGGTGCGGATAGGGGCGCGACGCGACAGACGAGGTCCCCCGAAGATGCAACATAAGAGTTGAGGAGTTCGCTTCCCTTCCATGTCTTGGGCGGCGCCGCGCGCGCGCGGAGCGCGGCGTGGCAGTGCTGGAGTACTGCGACGGGTCCACGCTGTACGACCTCTACGCGTCCGAGCACCCCCGCGGGGGAGTGCCACGGCCTCGGGTCACGCTCCGGCAAGGGCGAGGATGAGGAGCGGCAGTGGCAGGGGGAGGATAGGCGGCGATCGAGGTGGAGAATCGAGAAGGAGAAGGCCCTCTCAGAAGGCGGCGGGACTCCTCAAAAGCCCCCGCGCCTTCTGAGAAGTGTTTTGCGTCTTCGGGGAAGGATTTGCAAACTTCTCAGAAGGCCAGGGGACTTTCGAGCTTTCTGAGAATGCCCGCCAGGGGGGAGGAGGGTCTTATCCACGATTTTAGGCCCGTCTCGTGTGGTGCTCACTCCTCTTCTCTCCGCATCCTCTTCCTTCTCCTCATCCTCCTCCTCCTCGCAGGCCTGGGATCACGTTCTGTGTACGCAACGACACGGAGCCTGTGAAAAAGTGCACAGAAGTGTGTGGTTTCCACGGTGCCCCTTGGTTGTGGTTTTTCCAGCGCCCTGAGGGAGGAACCTTGCTCCGTTGGCGGGTGTCACAGACATCGCCCGCTGGGAAATATACGCGGAGAGTAAGGGATCTGCGCGGACCACGACCGACCACGACGACGACGGCGACGACGCCGACGATGACGACGACGGCGGCGACGACGACGACGACGGCGGCGACGACGACGACGGTTTTTTCACGAGGACGGAGGGCTCGAATAATTAGAACTGGCATAAATGAAAGGAGCAGGGGAAGTTTCGAATACGGAGAAACTGCATGATCGTGCGCTTTCGGAGGTCTGCGCGGGCTCCTTGGGTCGGCGATGGGCTCCCCCTGGCGGCGCCTCCTGCGCCGCCCTTGGCGCGCCTTGCGCGCCCGGCAGGGGGGGTCAGCGCCGACCCAAGAACTCCGCTCGGGCCTCCGAGTTTATGCTTATGCCGTGTTGTGCTCTTCGGAGGAGGGGAAGGATCAGCGTCGAGCGGGGGGGGAAGTGAGAAGGAGGAGAACTTCTCAGAAGGCGGCGGGGCTTCTCAGAAGGCAAGGGGACCTCCGAGCTTTTCGAGAAGGCCCGCCCGCCACTTCTCACTTCCCCCCCAGGCTCGCCGCCTAAAGGAGGGGTGGGGGATAAGGATGTGGAAGGAGAGTGGGACTGGGATATGAGCCTGGGGGTTGGACGAGGTGTCCCCCCCTGGCGCCTGATTGAATCTTGGTGCCCGCACATGTTCTTTTCCCTAGCAAGAATGTCCCCACTAATCCACTGCCTCGGATACCCTGTGGATCGGCAGCTTCTCCTTCTCCTCGGCATCCTCCTCCTCCTGATCCTCATCCTCTGGATTCGCCTCGTCCTGATCCTTCTCCCTCGTCCTCATCGTTTTCCTCCCCTGTAGCTCTCCATCTGTCGTGAGGCAGCATCCTTTAGGGGCAGACGCTGGTGTCTGGGTCCTGACACTCCAAGGCTGACCCTCTCGACGCGACGTACGTGGGCGCTGGCCGAATTTTCAGTCGATGCCCCGGCGTTTCGGGAGAATGTTCTGGTTCGTCCAGACGTTGACGATGAGAATTCATGCATGCGCACACACATGCATCGTAGCGGGCGTCTTCCAGCGAACGATTCGCATGGCACGAATTAGTTCGAAAAGTTGGCTCGTGAAGAGTTGTTCCTTGTACGACGGCGCATCGAACGCACAGAAGTTGTACAACGCACCTTTGCGTTCCGAAGAGTCTTGTTAGCTAACACCGGCTATTATAATTGCACGCTCGCCTCTACAACCTCATCGTTTTTACAACGCTTCTGGGAACGGACTTGAGCGCACAGTCTCTACATCAGACAACGCGGTAATAATACGTTAGCGCAGCAGGCATTATGGTTTCGACTCTCGTGCTAAATGAGCGCGTGTAGATGCGAAACAATGCAATTAATAAAGCCAGGATGTGCAGGCCGAGTGATGATCAGTCATTGTGTTCTGGTTGTTTCTCTTCATCTTCGTGTTAGCCCTCCTCTTATATACGCGGGGCCTCCCTTGTTCTTGCACAGCCGAACGAACAGCTCCTCCATCCTCCTCGCCCAGTCGGTGTTAAATAAATGTGTGTGTGTGTGTGTCTGTGTGTGTTGGTGTTGGTGTTGGAATGTGTATGTGTTCGTGTTTTGTCAGTGTGAACTTGTGTGCGCGTGTGTGTTTATCTCTTGCTTTTGTGTTGTGATGGTGTGTGGTTTTGGGTGTGCCTGTTGGTGTGTTTTGTTGTGTGTTAGTGCTTTTGTTTGTGTTTGTGTGCTTGTGTGTGTGCGGTTGTGCCTGTGATTGTGTGTGTTTGTGTTGTTGGTTGTGCGGGGGTGTTTGTGCGTGTGCGCGTGCGTGTATGCTATGTGTGTGTGGTTGTCGTTGTTGTTGTTGGTGCTGGTGTTGGTGTTGTTGCTGTTGTTCCTGGAGTTGCTGTTGTTGGTGTGGTTGTTGTTGTTCGTGTTGTTGGTGTTGTTGGTGTTCTTGTTGCTGTCATTGTTGCTGCTGTTAGTAATGTTGTGTGTGCGTGTTTTTGTGTATGTATATATGTGTGCCAGTGTGCCTGTGTGTACGTGTGCATGCGTGTCTGTATGTCTGCGTGCGTGCTTACATGCGTGTTTCGTTCATGTGGTGTTTTCTCTGCGCGCGCGTGCAGCAGATTGGGTGTGCCTGTCCGGGCATCGCTGTGTCTGCCTGGGGGCAACTTCGTCATTGACGGTGTCTTTCTGTTTCGTCGCCTGCTCCCGCCCATCCCTTCTCTTGGTGACTGCGGTCCTTCACGTCTTGCCTTCCGACGCTGGGCAAACTTCAGGAGCACTGCCTGCAGCGCTTTTACGCAAAAGCAAACAAAGGGAACGAGCCGACTCAGGTCACCTTGGCGCCAAATTGCGGTCGCAGGTCCGTGCGGACAAAGACCAGACAATGAGGCGAAGAACAGATGTAGCGCCACGGAGGGCAAACAGTAACCGACCGTGCGATCGAGCGGAAGAGGAGGATCAACGAACCACATCACCATAACAGTGCACATATACAGGTCGATATACGCGCACAAGGAAGTTGAATGGAAAGTCCGTGCAAAGGCGAGTTTGCAAAGGTAGCCGTGGATCCCAGGCAGACGCAGTGTGTTATCTCCCCCCCGTCCTTCCGAACTCTGATCTCGCATCCCGCCCCCCCCATGTCAAGGCTGGCCAAGTCGGCCTGGAAGGGCGCCGCCACAAGGGTCGGCCACAGGATCCCGAGGGGGAGGCTGCAGCCGCTCCCAGCGTCACCCGCGGTGCTCGACGACGACAGGCAGTTGGTCCAGGAGGCGACGGAGGCCGACATAATGAGAGGGATCAACAGCCTGCCCGAGGCGCTGGAGGCAGTGCTGGGCGGCCAGATGCGCGGTCAGGCGCGGCGAGACGATGTCAGATTTCTTCAAGGGCGCGCGCTACGCTAGCGAGCGCATGACGGATTTCGTGGCGAGGTTTGAAGAAGGCGTTCAAAGGCTCGAGGACGACGGAGTGCAGTTCGTGGACCAGGGCGACATCCTGGGCTGGCGGTTCCTGGGGATGCGCTGCCTCTCGCCCGAGCGTCGCGGACGAGTAGTGGCAGGCCTTCCGGACGACAGGTACTCGCACAAGGATCTGAAGACGATCGTGATCAGGATCTTCCCGGACCTCCACGCGACGGAGAGCTGGCGATTACACTGTCCAGCTCGGTTTCAACGGCGAGGGCCGCATCGACGTTTCGGTCAGAGGCGCCCCGGTCCTGGAGGTGCGAGCTAGTCTACGCGTGGCGTGAGCCCGACGGAGGTAGAGGGCCGAGCGGAGGATTGCGGCGACGAGCAGCAGCGGGGCGACGACTTTGATTGCGACTTCGAGGAGCCAGAGTACGAGGTCAACGAGGTGGAATTCTCGGAGATCAAGGGGCTCGCGCGCTAGGAACAGGAGGCGCTCGCGACAGAGCTGGAGGACAGCCCGCTGGACCTTCCGGCCGAGGATACCGCGGCGCTGGAGGAGGCGGCGCAGGCCTCGCAGTTCACGGAGACGCTGGAGGTCATTCGAGACGCACGTGGACACATTCAGGGACGCGCGAGGCGACGGCAAGGTGAAGGGCAAGGGACGAGGCATGCCTGGCGCTCTATCGTTTTCGAGTGCTGGGCGCAGCGGGTCACGCCGCGGCAAGGGCAAGGAGCTCCCCGAGACGCTGAGGCAGAGGAAGCTCGACCTGCAAGGCCTGCGGATTACATGAACACTGGGCAGGCGACCCCGAGCGCAAGGCCCCGCGCGCGACGCTGGCCACGGCGACGGGCGAGGACTCCGGCTCAGCCCGCGACGCGCTGTCCGTCGAGCAGGTGAAGGCCGCCATGGCCGAGGCGAAGGGGGTGCTCAGGAACGAGCTGGCTCGGGAGGCGAAGGGCCACCTACGCGGCGCGGTTGTCGACGCGGCGCGCGTCTCGGTGATGGGCGATGTCTGGTGGGGGGCCCACTCGGAGGCGTTGAAGGAGCTGGGCATCGGCAACCTCGTCGAGCGCGAGGAGATCACCGAGAAGTTCAGGTTCGGCGACGGCGGCGCGCTGATGTCCTGCGAGGCGTTCCGCATCCAAGCGGCGATTGCTGGCGGGCCAGCGACGACGTGCGCCCGCTCGGCGAAGAACGACAAGTTGGGCGCATTCTTGGGGCGCGACATCCCGGAGGCAATCGGCGCGGGCATCGACGCGGCCAGGCGCGAGCTCACCGCGGGCTCGGTTTCGCAGCCGCTGCTCCACTCGGAGAACCGCCGCTTCGCGCTGGAGCTCATGCCCGAGAGGCGCCCCACCATCTCGGAGGCCTACGCGGGCACTGAGGAGTTCCCGCCCAAGCTCGGCCACCGAGCTTGGCCGCCACCGCCCCCGCGCGGAGGCGCGGGCGCGCTGGTGCTGAAGACGTTCGCGATCGCGGCAACCGCGCGCTGCTCGGAGGCGCAGGTCAGCAAGGCGATGGGCGACACGCCCGGGAACCAAGACAAGGGCGCCGCCATCAAGAGCACCAGCGACGACATCTGGACCGTGATTACGGATACTACCACGCCAGAGAACACATCTACGAGCAGC